TCCCCATCCCAGGCGGGGTCCTCACCGTGCAGCCAGGCAAGGCAGCACGAGAACGGGGCCGTATATCCCGTCTTGGTTGTCCTGACATGGCCAGGAGCTTGGCAAACGCTGCGCTCTCTGCTTTGTCGACCCTTCAGTGACAACAGACTGCAGCCGTAACAGGCTGAGAGCCCTTGGTAGGCCAGACACTGGTTCCTCTCTGCCGCTTACTCCCTCGTCCTCAGTCCATCTCCCCAGTCTCACAGCCTTGACGCCATCTGCACACTGGCCACTCTCGTCTTGGGGCTCCGGCTCTGACCTCTCCCCAGGTTCCAAGCTGACAGATCCAACTGCCCAACCGAAGAGATGTCTCTTCAGGCAGATTATAAAACCACACTCCTGATCTCCCCACAGACCTGCCCCCAGCACCCCAAGGTCCCCCCAACTCAGTAAACAGCAGCGACCATCGGGCTAACAACCCTGGGGCCACCCCTGCTTCTCTTTCCCCCCAGACCAGGCGCTCCACCTGCAAATCCTGCCAGCCCTGCCTCCCAGCACTCCTGAGTCCCACCAGTCGCAGCTGCGCTCCCAGCCTGGTCCCTCTGGCTCCCTAAGACTGGTCCCCACTTCATTTTGCGCATTGCTGTCTGTCTCCCCCTGCTGGACATGAGCTCAGCGCAGGCAGGGAGCAGTCTGTTTTGTTTCCTGAAGTATGGCAGAGGTGAGTGCCCAGCTCACAGGGTGCCCAAGAAGAATCCCTTGGTGAATGAATGGCCTCCCCACCACCCAGGTCTCCCCTATTCCACCCTGCCCCGTTCAGTGTATTCTCCATACAGCAACCAGAGGGATCCTGTACAAATACATCAGACCATCCCGTCCCTCCTCTGCACAGAGCCCACCCCTGGCTCCCACCTCCTGCAGTTTTAAATAAGTCTCATTTTGGCCCACAAGACCCTGCCTTTCAGACCCCACCCCCTGCCTTCTCCCTTGCTCATTTGTCTCCTGGCTGGTCCTTAAACACTCTAGGCTTCGTCCTACCTCAGCACCTTTGCACAGGCTGTTCCCACTGCCCTGTCTGGACGTCCCCATGGCTCACAGCCCTGCCCCCGTCAGGTCTTTCCTTAAATGCCACCTTCTCAGGGAGATCTGTTTAAAAGGGCAGTCCCACTGTCCCATCCTGACATGCTCTGACACCTTCCCCTGCTCTTTTTCTCAATGCTTGCTCATCACTGTCTGGTGCACTGTATCTGTTCTTAGTTCTCAAAGTGCAGTCCCTGGACCTTCAGCTTGAGCTTCGGGTGGGAACCTGTTGAATGGTAATTCTCAGGCCTCACCCCAGACCTCCTGCATCAGGCTCTTTTGTGGGGTGGGGGATGGGGGGCACAATCTGAATGGTAACAAGCCCTCCAGAGGTTCCAATGTAGCTCAAGTCTGAGAACCACTGCTTTTTTATCTTGTTCACTCTCTATCCCCAGAAGGATGGGAGTTCTGTGAGAGCAGGGATTTTTTCTTGTTTCCTGCTATATCTAATGCACCCAGAGGAGTGCCTGGGGCAGAGGATGTGCTCAATAAACACCTTCTGAGCAAAGAATGAATGAAAGACCTCAAGGAATCTTCACAGAAACTTCTGAGGCAGGTGCTGCTAGCTAGCACCAGCCAACGCAGTGCCTGAACTGAGGCCCAGAGAGGTGAAGCTACCTGCCGGAAGTGGCACAGCTGGTTCAGAAGGTTCAAGCCCAGGTAGGCTGGCTCCAGAGCCCCGCTGTTAACTCCAGACTGCCAGCGAGATACAGGAGTGAATTCCCTTCTGCCCAGCATGGGAGGCAGACTGAAGACGGACCTGTCTGCCTGCTCACCCCCATATCCTGGCTCACACATACCTGCTGAGGGCATAGACTAAAAATGACCAACCTAACTGTCCACTCTTACCCCCTAGGAAACCACACTTGCATGCTTTGGCCTTGTCCCCTCCTTGGGCCTCCCGGGCTCTCACTGCCCTTATCACAGACAGGGGACCACCTGGGCCTGACACTGCTCTGGGTCCCCTGCATCGCCCGGGGCAGGCCCTGGCCTTGGGATGTGTGTGCTGGGTGAAATCCTTCTCGTCCCCAGAGACACAGAGACTCGGCTCCAGTTCAACCCCTCCAGGCTAATCGCCTGCCCCTCAGGGCTCCCACAGCCATATTTCATGTGGGCATCCTGAGCCATGCCTGCTTCAGGCTGTGAGCCCCTCAAGAACTGGGGTCAGGGTCCCCAGCACCACTCAGCAGAGTGTCTGTAATGCAGGCCACTTCGAGCCGTGTCCATGCAGAGTCCTCTGAATGTCACCAACCCCAGGAGTCTTCCCTGAGCCCTCGGCTGCTTCTCTCGTTAGCGCCCAGAGCACTCTAGGCTGGGACCTCCTGTCCTTCCTGATCAGACCGAATGATCGTCGGCTCCCCAGGGCCCAGTCAGGGGCCGGTCACAGAGCAGCCAACCGACAGCCTGAAGGGCACTGCGGGAGGAGGGCGGCCCGGCGAGGCCCTGCGTGGGGAAGGAACCCCTCTCGGGGACAAGAGGCCTGGGTGGGCCGTGCAGGAAGGCAGAGGAGAAACGAGGCAACCGCAGGTTCTGGAAGTCATGTAAGCTCTGCCCTCAGAGTGTATTCCCACCATGCTCGGCCTCAGTCTTCTCCAGCCAGCCTGTTGCTCAAACAGCAAACCCCCATCAGCCCGCGCTCCTCTTCCCTACACCCCCATGTCCTGCTGGCTCAAACCCCAAAGACAACCAGAGCCTGACTGCACTGCAGGCTCATCAACCACTATCCCCTCTTGCCTAACTGGTCTCTCTCCTTCCACTCTTGCTCCTGCTACAGTCCTTTCTTAATTCAGCAGCCAGGAAGGTTTTGGGATCATGTTCCATTGCTCAAAGGCTCCCATAGCTCCCTGTGGAAACTGGAATAAATGCCAAACCCCACACCGAGGTTTACAAGGCCCTACAGGATCTGGTCTCCAACCTCTCCTGTTCCAGCTACAAATAAGCAAAGCTCCTTTCTACCTCAGGGCCTTTGCACTTTATGGATGCTTCTGCCCAGATCTTTCTTCTCTCAACTGTCACCTCCCCAAAGAGGAGATTCTGACCAGTCCAGCTAAAAAAGTAAGCTACCTTGTTTAACTTCACTTAGTATAAGGGATCACCCCCTGAAAGCATTGCTTTATCCTTATCTCTCTCTTGCCTACAGTCCTCCTGAGGCAGGGGCCGTCTCTGACTTCTTCGGGCTCTAGCTCCTGCTTCTGGAACAGTGCCAGGCACAGAGTACTCAATATTTAGTCATTAAGGGTGACACAATGCCTGCACGTGCACCATTCGGTCCCCCAATGCCTCCGGGATCCTTCGCCCCAAAGCCCTTCCAGGATGCGTGTTCCCTCGCCCCCGCGGCCGGGGGCCCAGCGCATGCGCCCCCTACTCGTCGAGGGGGCCCCCCGGCTTCCTCTTCCTGCGCGCCCGCTCACGCGCCGAGACCACTGGCCCCTGCCCCACTACCACGCGCCCGCGGGCCAAGGGGACCCCTTCCGCTGCCACGCCCCGCGGCAGCCCTCTCAGCCTTCTCTCAGTGCCCGGCTCCTCAACCCCGTTCCCTGCCAGGCCAAGTACCCTGCGATTCGCCCCTCTCCCTTTACTCACCTGCTTCAAACAGCGTTTCCCGCCACAGCCTACGCCGCCGTGACCCCTGACTCCCGCTCGCGCAGGCCCAGAGACACCAAGCGCCCTGTCGGGCCACGCCCCTCCGCCCCAAATAGGGAGAGACCACGCCCCCTCCTTCCAACAGGATGTGCCCTCATTGCTTACAAATTCTCGCCAAGCCCCGCCCCTTATGACGTTGACCTAAAGACTCGCCCTCTCCTTGAGGAGGTGTTGCGGCCTCGCGCTCGACTAGGGGGCGCTACACGCACAACCTCCTCTTCCCTTGTCATCCACGGCCCGGCTGCTGCCCGAGGCCGCGTCCAGAGAACCAGCTGGGCACCTTCCAGCTTTGGGCTGGCGGCCTGACGTCTGCCCTCCCCGGCGAGGCTGGCCCTAACGCACCCAGGTCCTGGCTCTGTCTGCTCTCACACAGCCTGTTTTCCCATCCGCAAGCTAGACCAAGCAAAGTGGGCACGACCTGTGGGGCGCTGTGCACACTGCATGGAATGGAGCGATGGCTTCAACCACTCTCACTTGCACCGTCTCCACTCGCCACCCTAAAAAAAACTTTCAGCATCCAGTTGATCTCTCTAAGCAACAGTCCCCTATCCTCCACTGGGGCTGTCCATCCAGCTCACCTCACTGCCCTCAGGTTGTGGCACAGAAAAATGGTTAAGACAACTCTGGGGCCTGACCTTTCAGACCACTGCAAACTCACCAGGGCCTCCCACCTTCCAGACCTGGCACATGCCCTTCCCTCAACTTGGGGGTCCAGCCCTCATCCCCTTTCTCCAGTTTAGCTCCCAGCTAGGACATCACCTCTAGCTCCCACATTGCCACACTGCCCCCATTAAAGTTCCTACTTTCTAGATGTCTCTGTCCATCCACCCATTGCCAGCTGATTAATAGGTACCCAAGGGGCTTTGCCTTGTTCAGGGTTGTTTCTAGGGCTAAAATTGTGTTTGGCACATAGTAAATGCTCCATACACATTGGGTGGAAGAATGACATGTGTTCCCAAAGTGGCCAGCACAGTGGCCAGCCCACAAGTGGCTTCAGCAAATATTTGTTGACTTAGCAAAAGTCCTATTTCCCTAACCACTTATTCTCCCTGTCCTTCAGCACCAACTGCAACTCCACTTTATGGGGAGTTGACCCCAAGGCTATAGGGGCCTCCTCTGGATCCCCACAGTACCGTCACATCACCCAGAACACCTCTACCAGCCCAACAACAGAATAGTTCTGGGGGGCTGGTATCAATCAAGATCTTGGCAGCCCATCCCCTGTCCACCTCAGACTTACTTGGGCTCAGGGCAGCTATCTACTCATATTTTATTTTCCTGTTTTTGTTTTTTTTTAGTTTTTATTAAATAAAAGGAACAGAAGGAGGGGGTCTGTGGTCTCTCAGGCTGTGGGGGAAAGCCACAGGCCCTTGCTTCCCTCTGTTCAAGGTGCATTGCATGGTGGGCTTGAGGTGTTAAGCTAGGCGGGGAGGGCAGCTGGGAGGGGTCAGAGGTCAGGACCTGTGACCCATCCAGCCCTCCCAGGAAGACTCAGTGGACAAGGAGTGAGCTTCCTGGACCCCAAATGGGGCTCATCCTGAAAGGCTAAGTCCTGGGGGGGCTGGGACCTGAGCTCAAGCCACAAAGTAGGACCCCAGGACCAACCCTTTTCCACCCAGGAGGAAGGAGTGAAAGTCCATTGACTGGAGGGTGCAGGGATGTGGGACAGAGTGGCCGCCCCTCACTCGTGGACATCCCAGATCTCAGACAGCAGAGGCGGCAGCTTCTTGTCCTGAAGTCTCAGGGCAAAGACCTGCTCCGAGTGCACGGAGCTCAGTGTGCGCAGGCTCACAAGCTTCATCAGCATGCGAGGGAAGCGGAGCTGATCCTGTGGGTGTACAGGCAGGTGGGCCCTGGTTAGCCCACCCAGACCCCCCCGGGGGCCTACCTCCCTGGGCCAAGCCAGTGTGGTGAGTGCCTGTGCAGAGTATGGGGACCACCCCCCATGCTTGAACTAGGCTATAGGCTCCTTGGTGAGATGGGCCTGAGGACAGATTCTGCTGAGAGCATCAGTGGGGCTGGGGCGCAGTCAGACAGAGCCTGGCTCTAACGAGGAAGCAAGACCCAGGCTGCAAGCTGACCCCGCGTGGGCCTGGACTTCCTGCGCCTCCCAGGCCCCTGGACTGAGTCTGCGCTGCCGAGAGCAGCTGGGCCCTAGGTTGCTCCAGGTGCCACCTGTACCTGGGGCCTCTTGATTCGCGTGTAGGAGAGCAACGCCTCCACGTAGGGCTGCTGCAGGGCCTCGACGCGGCTCGGCTCCTGCACGTTGGGCCTGTCAGCCGAGAAGATGTTGATGGCAATGAGCAAGGCGTACTCGGCGTCGTCCAGGCCCAGCCGCCGCATGGCCCGTGAGAACTCGAAGATGGGGTTGATGAACTCCACCTGCAGGCCTGTGGGGGTCGGAAACCCACAGATAAACTCCTTGCCCCTAAAACGCCCCACACCTGGTCCCTGATGCTGCCGCGGTCAGCAGGAGGAGGAAAAGAGCAGGAATTATAGCGTCCTTGTCATTTCTGTCCACCTGTCCAAGTGCCTGGCATGCAGTACCCGTGCTACTACTCCCTCCTGAGGGGCTAAGTGATGGCGTGTTCTCCTGCTCATGGCCTCCTCCTGCGCGCCTCTCCTCAGGAAAGGGGAAGACTCGGGGTCACGTTATATCACCCCCTGCAGTGGCTTCCACCGCTCTCAGAGTAAAGCCCAAACTCATTCCCTAAGGGTTATTCCCTGGGAATGAGTTATCAAACCCTGTGGATCACTTACTATGTGTCAGGCACAAGAGGACTGTTTACAAGCCAAAGTCCCTGCTCCCTGGAAGTTACCTTTGGGGACCGAGGGGGTGGACAAACAGGCAGGTCAAGTACCCAGCACCCAGCCTGGGAGAGAATGAAGACTTCTGTGGATACAGATTGACTCAGGGAAGGCGACGGGGGCCTCTGAGAACCATGGCTACGTCTCAGACAAGGCATGGGATGTGCATCTGTGCTCCTGGCACTACAGGGTCACACTGCAGCAAGGACTTGCTGTAGGGTGACCTCTGAGCAATGAGCCAGAGAAGGGGAGGGGAGGACTTGTGGAGATGTGTATGTTCCGGGTGGAGTACCACCCTGGGATAGGGTGCCATGTGGGCCTTGAGACTTTCCGTGTCGAAGCTGGGAGACAAATCCAAATGAGTGAGTTGGTCACCCGAATTCTGGGCAGAGGGCCCAGCAAATACAAAAGCCCCGAAGTAGGGGTACATTTGGTAGGCTCAGATAAGAGGGAAGAGGCCAGTGGGGGGGGAAGCGGATGAGGGAAGCAGGTGGGAGATGAGGATAGGCCCCTGCAGGGCCTGTGGGCCACAGCAAGGACACTGGCCTTTCTCCCAGGAAGATGGGAGCCATAGAAGGTTCTTAACAGAGATGGACATGAGCCGGCTACGGTGGTAATGGGATGCTCCTAAATGCCATGTGCATACACACTGGGCAGGGGTGGAGATGAGGACTCCAGTGAGGAGCCCCTGCAATGTTTCAGGGAGATAACTGAGGCCTGGACTGCGACAGAGCACGGGGAGCAAATGGTGGGAGCCCAACCCCCTCTCCAGCCCTATCTGCCGGGCCTTCTTATAGTTCTTAATGCTGTCCAGCTCTTCCCCACGTCCGGTCCTTTGCACATGCTGACCCCCCTGCTAAAAACTCTCTCCCCACCCAGTGCTTCCCTGCCCAGCTCACACTCAAAGGGCTACTGGGGCTATCTTGGGTGTTGGGAGGCCCAGGATTTTGAGGGACAAGATGGGGTTAGAAGTGGTTGTCCAGGAATACGGAGGAGTGTCCCAGGGAGAGACAATGGGAGTGAGCAGGACCCACTGAGAAAGCTGAGGCCCAGGGAGCCTTTGCTCCCTGGTGGGCAATGCTATTCCTCGCTTGCCTTTTCCTAGGCAATGCCTCTCACGCCTCAGGCCTTACACCTGTGCACTTCCTTCAGAGGCCCACCTTCTAGGTCCCATCCCCAGGTAAATACTCTTGGAAGGCAGGGACCAGGGCTGCCCTGTACAGTTATGCAGGTTGCACACTTCACCATGGACTGAGATCCAGCCTCCTGCAGGTGAGTCCAGATTTTCAGAAGGGCTGTTTTAACTCCAAGATGCCCTATGATAGCACAGCCCCCTCTCCGCCCGCACTGTGTCACACCTGTGCAGTCAGTGCTCAAGACATGTGCTCTTCTCTTGTGAGGTTAGGCCACACGTCACCCCACTTTGGAGGTAAACAGAGGCTCAGACAGGGATGAGGAGGTCGGCGCGATCCCAACTGCAGGGGCCCCACCTCAGCCCCAGCCCCTCGGCCCACTCATGGCCATACCTGCGCGGTGGAAGTCATCCTTACTATAGGTGAAGTCCTTCAGGAAAGTGATGCACTCTGTCTCGTGGTTGTAGCGCCTGGCTGTCTCCAGCAGCATGATCTGAGGGCATCAGGCAGGGGCATGAGGAGTCTAGCCAGTCTGCCCCAGTGCTTCCTCCCCTGGCCTGAATGGCAGGCTGATGTGCCAGGACCATCTCTTGCTGCTCTGCCCCCATTCTCTCAGCCACACCGTCTGAGTCTGTGCTCGCACCCTGGAGACTCCAAGCTCTCCCCCTCCACCAGGTTCGGCACCCACAGCACCCTCACTCAGGACACTCTCCCCAGGTGGTCATGAGCTGTGGGAGCAGGGATTTTTGTCTGTCTCGTTCCCTCGGAATGGAGCCTGGCACACACTATGTGCTTAATACTTATTCATTACTATTGTTCTGGTTCAACTGTCGACTCTGAATAGCCTTTTCAGCACATTCTCTAATGTGTGCCTCCAGCCCTATCCTCAATAGGATAGTGTTTCTCACAGGGGTCAGCATGTGCAAAGCCCCTGAGGTGGGGAAGAGCTGGATGGCTTTAAGGAACTACAAGGGCAGGCAGCCAAAGCTGGAAAGGGCACTGGTGTTCACCACCTGCCCCCCATCCTCTGCCACTGGCACAGTCCTGCTGTGGGCCCACAGCCCTATCCTCAGTCCTCCTCAGCCTCAGCCTGTTTCCTCTCTTGCCGGCTCACGGGAGTCTCTGGCATTCTGACATTCCCCTGTAATACACCCAAGGGCAGGGAGGTCTTGCCCGTCACTGTGCTCCAGCCTCTATCTTTGGGCTTATCTCTGGGGTTCTTTGCAGGCAAGAGTGAAAGGTCTTGCTGAGGGTGGTGGGCTGACCGTTACCTCAATGGTAGATGCCTTCAGGAGGGCAATCTGGTCCTCACGGCCCAGCTGCAGGAAGCCAGGCACCTGCTTAGCAAAGTCCACAATCTCCTGGACTGAGATGATGGCCAGCTCTGTGAAGTGGGCAAAGCGCTGCTGGCGGGCATCACGGGACTGAGGGTCTGCACCCAGGGGCCAGGGCTGGGGACAAGGGGAGTCAGGGTTACTCTAGGGACTCCGCCCATGAATCCAGGGCCATGCCAGCACCTTGAGGCAAAGCCTGCACTGTAGGAGACCCTCCTCTCAAAGCCCCAGCTCTCTGGAGCCTCATTCCCTCCCTATGTCCTGGGCTGCAGCCCTGCCAGCTCTACCCTGCCAGGCCCGTCGCGTCACCTCTCGAAGCTGCAGAAGGGGCAGTACCGTGACTTTGGGCTGGTCGGAGAAGGAGCGTTTGTTGCACTGCAGCTGGGCCGCCACCAACTGCTGGATCATTAGTTCTTGAGCAGCTGTTAACTGGATGCCCTCGCCTTCCCCAGAGCCTTGGCCTCCCCTGTCGGACCCTCCAGGGGAGGCCCCGGGCGCAGAGACAGAGCTGCTGCTGACCCCAGCCTCTACGGGCGACGGCTGCTGCTGCTGCTTCTGAATCTTCTTCTTCCAGATCTGCTCTTCAGATAGGACGCCTGATGGGGAGAGCAGGCCTCAGCAGGGACCCCAGGGCTGGGCAGGGGCCAGGCTGGCACCACTCCCTCTGAGCACTCACACTGCTCCCTCATCCCAGCCTCCTTGCATTTGCGCAGCCGGCACTGCTGACACTTGCGCCGCATGAAGGCATCCATCCGGCAGGTTCCACCGCCCCGGCAGGCATAGCGCCCTGCCCCGCCCCGGACCACGCTGCGCCGGAAAAAGCCCTTGCAGCCTTCACAGCTGAGCACGTTGTAGTGGAAGCCAGAGGCCTTGTCGCCGCAGACGCGGCATAGCTCGTGGCCCAGCATCTTCGGCGCGGGGCCCTTCTTTCGCTTGCGCTCTGGCTCCTCTTCTGGGTCTAGGGTGACTGGGGTGGGTGGACACAAGCCATGAGAGACAGAACCACAGGGATAGACAGCAGCTGGAAGGACAGGCCCGTTAGAGAGCGCAAAGAGCCGTAGAATGGAGGGCGACCCAGAGAGACGGCGATTCAGAGAAGCACGCATGTACGTCCGTGAACGTCAAAGAATGAATCAAGGTATCAAGAAGGAAAGGAAGAGAAAAAAATCAACAAGAAATGGACCTCCCATCTCCTTTTCTGATCTTTCTCCCTTCCTAGATCCCACCCAGAGCCCTGCATACCAACTACTATCTCCCGTCCGTGGGCCCCATCTCACCCACGATGTAGGCTGAGCCAGCCTCATCGGCGCCTGGGACATCGGGGTCCGGACCCCCAGACCACAGCTCAGGACCCTCTTCCTTTACAGCAGGTGACGAAGAAGGGGCACTGGGTGGAGGGGGACCATGTCCTGGGAGAGGGAACCACAGTGAGTTTCTCCTGAGAAGTGTGTGATGACCGGGTCTGGTTTAGGAAAGGGGTCACTCACCAGGCAAAGGGGTGTCCGGGCAACTTGTAGTGGGGGTGGACATGGTGGGGTCACGAGGCAGCCTGCAGGATACAGGGGGACTGAGAGACTTGTGGGGCCTGGGAGGGTCGGGTAAGTCCAGCCACAGCTCCTGGCAGGGGCACCTTCTACCTCTCTCAGACTACTCCCCTACTTCACTCAGACCCCACCCCCAGCCCCTGCGAGGCTGCAAACCCTCCCTCCAATTCCAACAGGGCCTCAAGCCCCGCCCCATTTATAGACCCCACCCCTGCCCTAGGCTCCGCCCACCAGACCCCATCTACCTGCTCTTTCTAGGTACGGCCCCTTAGGAACCGCTCTCACTTCTTCCCTCCCGCTAAGTTTCACCCCACCTCTGCCGAGGAAGCACCCCCATCTCTCATTCTGATTTTACCTCCTCCTCTCCTGCCCTGCCCACTCCTTGCAGGTTCCATCCTCGCTCCCCCCACAATAACCTCCCCATCACTTTGCCCCGCCCCATCTGTACACATGTCCTCCCATCATGCTCCGCCCCCACACCTCGCTCCAGGTCCCGCCCCTCTCCGAACACCAGTGGGGGGCGGGGCTCATGGCTGCGCGCGAGGGTCTCGTGGGCGGCCTCTCGCGGGGTCTCCTACTCCCGTTGCCGTAGAAACAGGCGTGGGTGGCGCGAGCTACGCAGGGGAGGGGGAGAGAGGAGAAAAGCGGACTGAGTGGAGCAGCGCGGGGAACGCCGGGAAGCCCCGCACCCGGGGCTCCTCCCGCGTCTCCCCACACTCGCACGCACCTGCCTCCGTCTCCTTACTCCGCTTCTCTTCTCTCTTCGGTATCCCCTGGCAAGCCGCCGCTGGTCGGATCCTCTCAAAAGTAACTTCGCCACTTCTTCCGGCAACCCCACTGTGCGTAACGTCCGGAAAAGGCGGGGACTCGGAGGTTACGAACTTCCGGTCCGCATGCGGCTGGCCAAATTGGCTGCCCCGCAAGGAAGTCTATGGCAGGAAGTTTAGCCTACCGGGTGGCTTCACTAGGGGCCGGCATTAGAGTTCCCGACCGGGGCAGTCAAACCTTGGGCAGGAGCCGGGCAAGCTCAACCCCAAGCCTTCCCGCTTCGCGCTGTGGCTTTAAATCATCCCCCTGCCTCTCTTCGCTTGCAGCCAAAGATTTTCTCAGCATATATAGCTCCTTGTAGCACGTTGCTGATTTAAAGCCGTTTGTCCCTTATTTGGTTTTCTGATTTTGGAGGCACAGTGCTTATTGGCTTTTAAATAGGTTGAACTACAAACCTAGACTCGGAGAAAATGTTTTTAAATACAATTAAAAATATATTTTTTAAGAATAATTACCAAAAAGATTAAAGTAAAAATTACACAAAATTCAGAATACTTCAACAGGTGGAATACATAAGTTGTCCCAAAGGCTTTTTCCCCCAATGAAAATCAGGCATATATTGAGCATATATGCAAATTAGAAAAATGAGACTCATTTGTAGTTTGTTTCGTCCATTTCGGCATGTCCTTGAATCTGGAATTTTCCACTGCAGAATTGTTGGGGAGGAATAAATCTCCTCCACCCCTTGAGGTTCTTCTAAGGTGGTCTAGGAATCAAATTGACAGGAGACAGATTAGCAGGAGAAAAATACCAAAAGTCTAATTACATACCTACGGGGACTTTTTACATGTAGATTCCAAAGACAGTAAGGGAGCACGAGGCATGTCAACCTGAACCAAGGAGAATGGGTTAGGGGTCTGACATTTAGAAAGGGGTAGGGGCCTGAGGCTTAAAAGGAAAAGGGAATATGAAAAGAATAAATGCTTGGTAAACAAAAGACTTGATGGGCCACACAGAAACTATGCGACACAGAGAAATTTTAACAAGCAGGCTTTATTGCATTCGTTTCTGTCTCTCACCCTTGCTTTACATCACAATATAGCTATCTACAGTGTTAGCTCTCCTGCTGGAGTTTCTCCATCCAGATTCTTTTTATGCAGTTACATGAGGGGAGGTCAAAGTATCTTCCTGAGTCTTTTGGGCCTTGATGGTCTTTCAGCTCAAAATAATCTGCTTGCCAAAGTGATCCATCTTGGGGCAGCCCACCCATATTCCCTACATGGATGTTACCCATAAAACCAGTAGTTAACGTGTGGCATCAGGAGATGGCTGAACGGGTTTCTCTGCCACTTCTTTGCTGTATAATATTAAGCCAAGCTATTTACTCTCCCTGTGCCTCAGTTTCCTCACTTGTAAATCGGGAACAATAAGAGTCCATTGTACTGTCATTACGATTAAACAAGGTAAAAGCATGAACTGGCCAGGCTCAAAAAGAGGTCCCATTTGTGGGCGCTATGTTCATTCTTATGATTTGTTTTTAACTTTACACTTTTAGAACAGTGCAAAAGGCTGAAATAGACTGAAGACGGATTACAACAATTTTAGGACAGTTGACATCACTGTCAGGGCCTACCTGAAAGGTGGTGGAGATTACTTGTGTTTCTTATGAAGGGTGTGAAGTGAAGATTCAGGAAGCGCAGTGCCTGAAATATCTAAACAACCAGCCAGTGCAGTTCTGTTATCTGAACCTAATTACAGACCTATGTTCTCATTTTTAAGTGATCCAATTTACCCTAGTTTTTTTTCTTTGTTTTAGTGACAGCTTTATTGAGATGTAATTCACACACCTATACGATTCACACACAATTTAGTGTATGATTCAGCGGTTCTTGGTCTAATTCACAGAAGTGCTGGCGACCATCACCACAATCAACTTGAGAACATTTTAGTCATCCCTGAAAAAGAAACCCCATGCCCGCTAACAGTCACCCCAGCTATTCTCTCCCCTGAGCCCTAGGCAACCATTAATCTACTTTCTGTCTCAATGGATTTGCCTATTCTGGACATTTCATATAACTGGTATTTTAGAATATACATCCTTTAGTATCTGGCTTCTTTCATTTAGCATAATATTCTCAAGGTTCATCTATATTGTAGCATGTGTCAGCGAAGTCGGGCAGGGACATGGTATGAGCATCATGATTAACTTTTCCTGCCTGTGACGAAAAACTATAAACAGTAAAGTAAGAATAGGAGGAATTCCATCTTAAGGCTAAGATTCCATTTTAAAAACCAGGGAGTTAGGAGGCAAGATTCCTAGCATATTCTTTGGTTATCAGCCAATAACTGACCCTATTTTAGGGCAGGGCATGTTCCTAACTGGTATGTTCCCAGTGCTTGAGGGTAACCACTGTCTCGGAGAAGAACAGGATCAATAAATTCCTTGAGCTAAGTTTATCGTACAGAATTATCTAAAGGACTGATTGTGGGTGGTGACATAACATCTCTCACCAAAGACATAATGACACCACATGTCAAGCCCATACCCCCCCAACCCCGACCCCTCACAGCTGCCCTTTGCCCCATTCTTGAAAGCCTTAAAAGACAGAATCCTAAGCCCTTAAGTGCGCCTCTTCTCTGAGGTTGCCCCCACTCCCCTTTCTTCAAGTGTGTACTTTGCCCTAAATAAAGCCTTCTCACTGCTCAACTTTGTGTTTTGTCTCTGCCCCTTCCAGTGGTGTCGTTGTCACTTAGCTCTATCATTTTATTTTCCAGTCTTAAGCACAAGTCTTCACTCTGTCTCTGTTCTACTCCAGATCAGTAAGTAGGGAGGGGCTCCTGAGAGCTCTGACTTGGGCTTACAAGTTCTCACTGCCTGGGTGACCCAGACACGGCTCAGCTATACGATGGTGCTCTTTGGCAGTTTGCCTGAAAATCTCCTTTCTTTGCCTTTGGGAAGCTCTCAGAACACAATCTCACTCCATGCAGTGCCCTGCAGCTCCCCCAAATCCTGCGGTAGTGGGGGCTTAGTTCCCAGGCCTCGCTGGGCCTGCAGGCTAAGTCAGTTGCTCAGTTTGCAAAATCACCTCATCAGATCTGAAGGAGGAAAGATTCAAGCAGATTCAAGCAGACACCAAAGGCCAGGTGACCCTGGCTTTCGGAGTTGGCGAAGGACTTCCCGTATGTGGAGCAGGAGTTCAGTGAGCCTCTCTTCCTTCTGCTCTTCCTCTGTGCTGCCTACAAAGCAGCTGCCATTCCCTGCTGCTCTGACTTTAATGAATTCCTTCCTTACCTACACTCACCTGACCCGTTTGAGAATTCTTTCTTGTCCAAAGTCAAGAACCCTTCCCCATCTGGGCAGAGATTTCACCTGGCGCACAGGAAGAGACCTCCCCAGATGCAGCTGCCTGGCAACATCACTGTTTCATTTCTGTTGTGGCTGAATAATGTTGTATTGATAGACCACATTTATACATTCATCAGTTGATGGACATTTGGTTGTTTTTAGTCTTGGCTGTAATGCTGCTATGACAATCCATACGAGACAGGGAACGGGGGTGTAGTCAGAGTAGGGTGAGGGCCTCCAGAAAAAGCAAGGCAGGATATTTGCAGTCAGAGCAATGTACCTACATGCAAGGAAACCCCCTACCAAAACTCTTGTGTTAAACATTCAGCTCTAGAATCATTCTTCAGTGAGATCAGTTAATGTTCCCCAGATAAAGAAGATAGCACATGTTTTATTATGCTAATCATTTGTAACCATGTGTAAGATTCACTTTAGCACTAAAAGGTCCAGGCCTATGTGCTGTCTTTCCTCCTTCAGATCTGACGAGGTGATTTTGCAAACTGAGCAACTGACTTAGCCTGCAGGCCCAGCTGCAGACGGCATAGTAAAGGGCAGGAAGAATTCCATCTTGAAGATAAGATTGCATTTTAACACCCAGGAAGTTCAAGAGGCAGGATTCTTTAGCAAACAGACAATAATACCTCAGCCCACCTTGGGGGCTGGGCAGGCGGCTTTCTGATGCTCCCAGACCAAGACGCCGGTGTCCCAGAGAGAAATCAAGGCAGGAAATACCTTATGTTAAGTTAATTTTTAATATTCAGGGACCACTTAACAAGTCCACACCCCTAAGCTCTTTTACACGTTCCCAAATATCCTCAACTGCCTATAAATCCCCTAGACAACGCACCTCCACGGACTCTCTTGTCCCCTCCTGGCGTGAGCCGGGAGCTCTGTCCTCTCACTGTATCTCTAAATAAAAGCCTGTACCTCGCTCTCCTACCTTGAGTATTTGTGAAGCTCATTCTTCGGCTTCCTGAACAAGAACCCCGGCATCACATATACAAGTTTTTGTGTGGACATATGCTTCCCTTTCTCTTGACTATATACCCAGGAGTGGAATTGCTGGGTCATATGGTAACTCTATGTTTAACCTTTTGAGGAACTGCCAGACTACATGCACCATTTTACATTCCCATCAGCAGTATACAAGGATTTCAACTTCTCTACCTCTTTGTCAACACTTGTTAATATCTGTCTTTTTTATTATAGCCATTCTAGTGGATGTGAAGTGATATTTCATTGTGGTTTTAATCTGCATTTCCCTGATTGCTAATTCTGTTTCTTTTTATCACAAATCATGTGTCATGTAACATTCTGCCTTCACTATGCTGAAGTGAAATCCAGAGACAATATAGCTGAACAACTATTCTGTCCCCAACAACAAAATATCATTTTACTTCACCAACTGCAATACAAAAGATAAGTGGAAACTGACTTGTAACCAAGTGATATGTACTTCAATGTACACATACAAGAGACACAATACAGCAGCCAAATCTTACTACAAAATAGAGAATTACTATGAATTTGAAAGTTTTAGTATACTCTGACCCAGGAGTGTTTATCAACTCAAAAACCTCAGGCAACCTTGCACTGGGTTAACATGATTTCTCCAAAATTGTGGCAAAATCTTAATAAAGTTATAAATAAGACAACGCAGGAATAATGTTGGCATATTCCAAAAGCAGAAAGGCGGACGGGGTGGATGGAGCTGAATGGGGTTGGGAGAGGGTGCAAGGTGAGATGGTAGGGGGGTGCCCAATGCGGG